CAGTGAGCTGAGATCACCCACTGCACTCCAGCCTGGCAACAAAGCAAGACTCTATCTCAAAAAACAAAAAATAAAACAAAAACAAGAAACAAACAAAAAACCTTCTAGAATAAAACATAGAAAAATCCTTCATGACATTGGATTTGGCAACTACATCTTGGATATGACACCAAAAGAATAAGCCGCAAAAGCAACAATAGACAAATAGGACTACATGCAACTTTAAAACTTCTACGTGTCAACAGAAACAACTAACAGAGTGAGAAGGTAGCCTTCACAATGGGAGAAAATATTTGCAAATCATATATCTGGTAAGGGTTTAGTAGCCAGAAGCTATAAAGAACTCCTACAACTCAATAACAACAACACAAAACAACTCAATTAAAAAGTAGGCAAAGGAATTGAATAGACATGTCTCCAAAGAGGATTTATAAATGACTAACAGGTATGTTAAAAGATGCTCATTACTACTAGTTATTAGAGAAATGCAAATGAGAACAAAATGAGATATCATCTCACACCTGTTAGGATGGCTACTATCAAAAGAAACAAAAAGTATCAAGTCTTAGCAAGGATGTGAAGAAATTGGAACTTTGGTGCACTGTTGGTAGGAATGTAAAATGATGCTGCTGATAGGGAAAACAGTATGGTGTTTTCTCAAAACAAAACAAACAGAGTTACCATATAATCCAGCAAGATCTTGACAAGGTATTTGTACATCCATGTTCATTGCAGCAGTAATCTCATATCCAAGAGGTCAAAGTAACTTAAATGTCCATCAATAGATGAATAGATAAACAGAATGTGGAATGTACATAACATACATTAAAATATTTTAAACATTAAAAAGAAAGAAATCCTGTCATATTCTACAACATAGATGAATGTTGAGAACATTATGCTAAGTGAAATAAGCCAGTTACAAAAAGCACAAATACTGCATTATTCCACCTATATGAGATATCTAAAGTAGACAAACTCTTTGTAACTGTAAGTAAAAAATGGTGTTTGCTAGGGGCTGGGGGAAGAGAGGAAAGAGAGCTGTTGTTCAATTGGTATACAGAATTCTAGTTTTTCAGGACAGAAAAAAGTTTCTGTAGAGATTACCTACAAAGGAAAGAATATTAAACTGATGGCAACTTCTCCTAATGAACAATAGATACCAGAAACCAATGTAATATTATTTTCCAAATGCTGAGAAAAATATTGGTCTACTCAGAATTTTATAACTACCTGAACTGCAATTCAAGAATGAAAGGGAAAGGAAGAGATTTTCATGGATACCAAAAGCAAGTTCACCATCCACACACCCTCACACACAAAACAATCAAAGGTTTAGTTTAGAAGAAAAGTGAAATCAGAGACCAAATTTGATATACACACACAAACAAAAATTCTATGCATACAAATTACTCAAAACATTCATTAATTTAATAGTTATAAAATAACTAATTGTGCATATGATTTTATTTTAAAGTGCAACTAATCAAACCGGCAGCAAGAAAGGCTGTGGTCTTTACTAGCAAGAAAACACCATAACGTCCATAAGCTGTTGGAAAGGAAGACAGAAACACTCAAAAACATTGAGCAAAGTATGTCGTTATTCATACATGATTTTAAAAAATAAGACTAACCACTAAAGGAATAAAAATATAGTCTAGGGTTACAAACTTGCAGAAGAATTTAATAAAATAAAATCATGTGAATAAAACAACAGAATGTTTTTTAAGAAGAAAAGAGATGCAAAAGGAAATTTAGAAAAATACAAACTACTATGGTAAAAACATATCCAGATACATCAATAATCTCATCAAATACATATGGATTAAACTCACCTATTAAAACACAAAATTTCAGAGCAACTCTTAAAACTACAGCTCTGTGCTTTAGACCTAACAGTCACTCCATCTTTGACACTCTCTCCTCCTGCTTCCTGGTGAAGAAATAGAAATCAAAAGTAACAAGGGAATTAATTCCTAGCTTAGAAATAAATAGAAGCCAGGTAAATGACGTAAATGACACTAGAAAAATGATACTACTTGTGAATCTTTTGGGTTCTAAATGAGCTTATCTAGGTTCTCTTAGTTTGCCTCAGCCCTCTCCTCTCTCTCAATAAACTGCAGTTATGACCCTTATTGGTTGCCCAACTACAGTGTTGCCCACGACATAGAAAATTGCTTTTCAAAGAAATTCTAGCCTTAATGCATACCAGAAACACCTCAGGAAAGTCAAAGTTAACGGATGATTTTTAACTCACCAGGGGAAAGCATTGTGATTGTAAGTATGAGGCAAGTTTGATTTAAGTGGAGAGAAGAACCGAAAATCTAGATACCCCACTAGGTTTATAAAGGTAAACTCCATCACCAAAGAAACTGTCTCTTGTGGCTCAAGATCCCACCCCCTCTTAACCTCAGATCTAAGCCAGAAAGAGGGAAGGAACGCATCTCTGAAAAGCTTCAGAGGATGAAACCACAACCCAGCAATCCCTCCAAACTCCCTCCTTCCCTTGTACAATTGTCTCCTGCTTACAATACTGTTGGCAAACTTTCTGTGTTTTTCTTTGTTATGGACCTTTGGGGATCAACTCTAGTCTAATAAACTGAACTCTACAGCTTCTGTGGAATCATAACCTGAATTATGACCTTTTAAATACACATAATACAGTCTACATTTAGCTGCTTATTTAATGACTGATTAAATCTTTAAAGTAAGACTAACTAGAAATATTCAAAATAACATCATCCTGTCTTTTTTCTTCTTTGAATTCTTACATTTAAAACGGACTCATAATAACTGGACATTAAGAATTGTCAGAGCTGTGACACACTGAGAGAGCCCATTATTTTGACTGAACATGTATTTAAGTGTTACTTTGAGCAGAAACTTTGAAAAACTGTGTATGTACACATATAGCATGTAAGTGTGTATTTTGATCTGAATATTTTCAGGAGTAAAATATTAACTTCAATAATTGTAATACAAATGACAGATGTATTACTAATAAGCAAGTATGATGTACCTGTTGGAGCCAAAGGAAAATTTTCCCTTCGCCCTCTGTAGATTAAGTGAAAATCGATGGACAAAAGGCTGATTAACAGGAGAAAAGAAATACAAATTTATTAACGTGCACTGGGGAGAATCACAGGGTGATCACCCCACCATGTGAAATGTGGTATACATGGTTATATACCCTTCTTTTTATTTATTTATTTATTTTTTATTTTTATATATGGAGTCTGGCTCTGTCACCCAGGCTGGAGTGCAGTGGCGTGATCTTGGCTCACTGCAACCTCTGCCTCCCGGGTTCACACCATTCTCTTGCCTCAGCCTCCCGAGTACCTGGGACTATAGGCACCCGTCACCATGCCTGACTAATTTTTTGTATTTTTAGTAGAGACAGGGTTTCACCAAGTTAGCCAGGATGGTCTCGATCTCCTGATCTCGTGATCCGCCCACCTCGGCCTCCCAAAATGCTGGGAATACAGGCGTGAGCCACCACGCCTGGCCAATACCCTTCTTTTTAGAGGAAAGGGAGATGGGGAGGTGTGGACGATTTTATAGCGATAGCAAATGATTCTGGGGGGAGTTCAATGAACTTAAAGAACATACAATGAGCTGGGACGAAGTCTTTTGGATCTACAGAGCAGACCGTGGTTTGTGACAAAACGCTGTCTAGGTGTATTGATGAACTTCAGTCTTCCTTCCTGTGATATGAGTTCAGTTAATGAAAACTCTGGGAAGAGACCAAAGGTAATTGTTTTCTTCTTTGGCAGGTCCGAGCTTAGGCACATAAGGGAACTCCAGAGAACACCTTCATCCTGTGCTTTGGGAGACACAGGATTGAACCACAGGAGGCAGAGGGAGTTCAGAGAGACTTTGAGGCGGCTGCTTCTGTACAGCATGTAAAAACACCATATTTGAGGGTATCAATTTCTGAGCTCCAATATACCAGAGATTTGTTTAATTGAACATTGGAAGAGCCTAATGAAAACTAGTCAATAACGAATTTAGAATCCAGCAGACATATGAGAACTTCCAAAATAACCTTGTGCTATTTACTGAGATCATAGAAAGTAAGGGTGGAAATCTGTAACCATGATTTTCAATGAATTTTTTTCATGAACTACAAATAGCCAACTCTCTTACAGGAAAGCGGAAATACACACACACACACACACACACACACACACACACACACACACACACCATTCAGTGCAGCCACATTCTCTCAACACATAAATAATAATAATAATATAACGTAGCCACTGATACGTAGTTATAATACTGATAACGTAGCCACTGATGCTACCTAATTTTGCCAGTTTGGGATTTGAAAGAAGACATGATACAACATGGTGTCCAACATGCTCATTTGAAAGGTCCAAAATTAAGCCAGCAGAGGAAGATAATTTGCCCAAAGGGATATCAAGATAGTACATGAAATGCAAATAAAACTCAAATATCCTTTCTCATAATCCAGAGCTCTTTCCATAAATTCATATTGCCTTTAAGTTAAAGTTATTCTGAGACTCTGACACAGTAGATAAAACATAGACCTACTAAATACAAACAAAGCCACAATCCATTATAAAAGTTTTTTTCTCCATGGTAGGACAGAGACTATTTCCAGACAAATTGAAGAATTTTCCTTCCTGAGCCGTCCTCTATGCTTAAAGGAGAGATAACAAGAGAAAAGAAAAATGTCTTGCTTTTTGAATTAGACAGAAAGGTAAAATTCCAAAGGGAGAATATTCTGCAGAAATGGAAGCTAGACACAAGGAATTTATATTGCATGGAGAGTAACTGCAATATAGTCATTCAACAAGACGTGGTCCTTAACACTCTAAATTACAAAACCTCAAAATAATCCTGAAAACCGGGATCACAAAATATAAAATGACTTCAACTTCCAATTTTCTTGCCTAACATGATGGTTACTCCATTACCTCTCAGTGGTAGTTCACACACATACACACAAATACACACTACAATGTACTTACTGAACTGTAGAGATAGCCTTCACCATTCATGGCCACATAGAGGCTAGCCTTCACTCCTTGGATGGCCACTACACGCAGGCCCACGGGAATTAGATTGAAGAGAGCTGGGGGGAGAAAAAGAAAGGAGGAAAGGATCAGTGACCTTTTGAATAAATAATCTTTTTTCTTATAATAATTCTTTTGAGAATTAAAACCTATTAATTGAACTTGGTAGAAAAATGGAGAGAGAAAGAAATAAAGAGAGGTCTAAAAATGAGGGAAATTGACTTCTTGACCCTGTGCCAGCATTAATTACCTATGTAACTTCAGGTAAGTTACATAAACTCTGTACAAAGGGGTTGGATTAGAAGGTCTCTAAAGGCCCAACTGGATCTGAGATTTCAGGATTCCTGATCCTTAAAATTACCCTCAAACAGGGTAATATAAGGTAATTTTTTCTAACAAACAAATAATATGAACCGAAAAATTCTCAACAGGAGAAAATGTATCTGTAGTCATAAGAAATAACAAAATATTATCTTTACAACAGTCCAAAGCTTCTTATTTTTAGTCTTTTCCTTGTTGTTCCAAACGTTATATTGAACACAGAAGAAGAATGCAAAAATTACTGACCTATTGGTGATAACATTCAGACAAAACTTTTTTCTTGATATCTCAATTTTTTACATGTAAATAAAGAAAGATAAACAGATGGATAGATGATTGACAGATAGCTTAAGCTATAACGGATATATTTTATATATTTATATCCAGGTGGGAAAAATACATGTATGTGTATATATGTGTATATACACACATATATATATACATATATACACATATATATATACACACACACATATACCCAAAACCATTAAGAATTAATTTGACAAAAGTAATTCAACATCCTAAGATGAAATGGGAACATGCTTGCAGTCTTTACATATTCGAGTTGCTCATCACTCAAAGTACTCAATAGTCTATATGTCCACTTGGAGATGGAATTCATAGATCAGAAAAAAACATACCTAAGAGCACCTTCTATTTTTCTTCCAACAATGTATTTGTGTCCTTGGGAGAACTTCAGTTACTTTTGAGATCACAAAATGAGCATAAACAGAAAGCATTGCCCCCACCCCGAAACAATTCACATTGCATATGGAAGAAAAGCAATCATATACTTAGGTTCTGTAGATGGCAACATGGATATGAATTAAGTATCTCATGGTTGTATGCATAAGAAAATATCTCTGCAGTTCATTTCAGTATCCTGGCTTCATTAGAAGTTCTTATCCACCTTTTCTATTGATAAAATTCCTCTCAGTTCTCGTCTTCTTAGTTTTTAATACAAGATACACATAAATTAACCCGAGGGCTACCGTTATTCAGGGATGCCTCTATTTTTCTGGGCTTCTCTCAACCTACAATAGTAAGCTAAACACACACACTCGCAGACACACACTCTCACAGTATTTGGCTTTCAGTTCAAATGGACAGGTGTAGAGGATCAAGCCTTAGACCACAGGTTTGGTAGAACAGGATTCCATTCTTAGCTGTTGACATCGGATCAGTCTTTTTGCCTCTTTGAACCCATTTCCACATTTGTCATGAAAACTGAGACTAGATAAGAAACTATAAGTAGTTTCTCATAGATTAATTGTTGGCTCAATTTAGATTTGAACTGGTTTTATTTCTTGCTATATTCTTACCAGTGTCCTTGTGTTACTGAAACAACTTAAGAAACACAAGAACTAGACAAAGTCTAGTTGGGGAGAAAAAGCTAAGACATATGGAATAATATGATACAGTGTATAATTTACTTCTATAATTAAATATAATATATGCATTCTATATATATATATTCTCTATATTACAGAAGTTCAGGAAAATGGAAGCTCTGTGTGGCCTGAAGTATTCATGGAATGCCTTACACAGAAAATGGAACCTGAGTTGACACTTAAAGAAGCAGCAGAAGTTGAGAAAGCCAAGAACAGAAAACATTTTAGTGAGGCAGGAAGTTAGGTGGTTTTGCAGAGTAATGTGTGTATGCAGAAAGGGACTGGCAGATTGGAGGATCTGATTTATATTGGGGGGAAATGAGAAAGAACACCACGTAAATAAAATAAGGATAAATAACTGCGAGCCTGTCGCTCTAATCTTAGATATCTAGACTTTACCAAATGGGCAACAAGATGTGTGCCATATGAAAACTAGAGTAAAAACACAGATTATGAGTATGAGATTTGCAGACACACAGTTTCTAAACCCTCCACTAAGTTACATGGCTTTGAGCTATTCATTTAACTTCTCTGCCTTAGTTTTCCTATCTGTAAAATGCACATGATAATCCTTATTGCACAGAGTTGATAGAACCAAATGCATTGTCATGTTTCTGAAAGTGATTCACAGAGACATGTCCTCTCGAAGAGCTATTTGTCATGAACACCTAATTCTTCTGTTTGTCAGGTAAAGTTACCATAAGGCTACTGTAAAAACTGACATATTTCCTCAGTAATACTTTTTAGTTTATATTCAGCAGATTGTTTTAATGCTTTAAAATATAATACTTTATATTTGTGTAACAATTTTCAAAGTGCTGATATGTTCATTAATTATATTTGATCCTCAACCATTAATGCTGTGAAGAATTTAGGACAGAATGATTATCTTAATTTTTAGAAGTACAAAAAGATTTAGAGTTAACCCAGGGGAAAATGCATCTAAACAAAGGCTTTCAGGCTCTCTAATGGGGCTACCTGTTCGAAACATCATATTTCATCTTTTTGTTCTTTCTTTCTTTTTTTTTTTTTTTGACAGAGTCTAGCTCTGTCACTCAGCTGGAGTGCAAGTGATTCTCCTGCCTCAGCCTCCCGAGTAGCTGGTATTACAGGCACCCACCACCACACCCAGCTAATTTTTGTATTTTTTGTAGAGATGGGGTTTCACTGTGTTGGCCAGGCTGGTCTCAAACTCCTGATCTTGTGATCCACCTGTCTCGGCCTCCCCTTTTTGTTCTTTTAATTTCCTCTAATATCTGTTCTTACCTTCTTGCAAATAAACAGATTATTCAGCTACATCTTCTTACATATCCTGCAACCAGATGTAGGATGTAGGTCCTATGAACTCACTACTGGTCAATGAGATGTGAGTCATCACATCATTACAGGCTTGAGGAATCCTTCCTTACAGACAACTTATAGGTGTCCTTTGCACCCCTTCTCAACCTTTGCCTATTGCTGTTTGAATGGAGATATGGTAGCTGGATCATTTGAAACCATAAAAACAAGGACTACTCCCCAGCGGGTGTTGGCAGGTGAGCTGGAAGGAGTTGGGTCCCTGAGAGCTTTGTGGAGCAGTGGCACAAGTCCAACATTCAATTACCCAGGTCTAGCTTTTATGGGAGAAAATAAGTCCTTGTTATTTTACTCTGTGCAATGCAGAGCCAACTCTAATCCTAACTGATAGAGATGCTAATGAAAGCAGAATTCATATGCAAGATATGAACTAGATGCAAGGTACTTCATTTTAAATAAAAGCAGATACTGGAAAATATTAAGTTCACTGACAATTACTGTGAGAAGGAGAAAAGACTTTCCAGGATAAATGCTAGGAACACTGGTTTACATAGCTCACCATAGAAGGAAAAGCAACTATAAAATTTTTCCTACATGAAGAATGACAGCACACTGATAACGCTAGGCAGGGACAAAAACAAGAAACCTGTTTGAAAGTTTTATGTGAACCACAAGATGATAATGGCTTTTAGCTGGTTTGCTTTGTGAGACATACCAAGCCCATTTTTAAAAATCAGTAAATGATTTGAAATGCGACTTTATTGGTAAAAGCTAAACACGGTATCTCTGGAAACGTCCTCATCTGCCTCCTAAAAATCCCAAAAGGCGGCAAATGACTTACTCTTATCCATTAATTATCTTCTGGCTCCAGCTCACAGGAGCCCTTTGCTACTCCTTTCACTACTCCTCAAAGCCACTGTCCTAACTCATAGTAACTGGGCTACTTGACTCCACCCACTCTTTAAGTCCCTTGCATCCTCTTATGCCATTTTCCTGCTTACAACCTGCAGTGATTCCTTTCCTCCCTGTCTCCAGTGTCCTTTACAACCTGGCTCCAACCCACATTTTCAGCTTATCACCTGTCACCCTTTCCATCTGCTGTAACCGGCTTCACAGAGCTTTTTGCCATTTCCTAAGTTCCCCCTCAATCTTTAACTAGGCTGGAGTTTGTCCTCTTTTGTCCTCTATCTCTTTTTGGAAAGCTTATCTTCCCACTTCTAAATTTGGCCAACTCTTTTCATCATTTAAGGCCTACCTTGTTGAACTCCCCCATGAGTCTTGCCCAAAGCCCTTCAGAAATAATACTTCCCTTTTCCAGATGGCTTATTTCTTGTGTATATTTTGGTAATGGTATTTAGAACATGGTTTTAGAGTTCTTTGTTTATATCTCTGTCTCTATCCCTACAATTCAAGATTCTTGAGGGTAGTTGCTGTAATGTCTAGCCCAGTTACAAGTACATAGCTTTATTAAATAAATGCTATTATATGGGTTATGACAAAAACACATTCTTTCCAGGAATGTAGGTTTCCTTGTTACAATGAAAGTTCTTTTTAAGATAAAAATGAAATTAGAAACTTAAAGCATCTCAGCCTGATATTCAAGGTTAATCTACAACATACATTTGTGCTACATGGCACTTTCACTTCAATACTGAGTGCTTCTAGTAATTTGCTCTTCCTCCTCCTACCTTCTAAACTCCATCTTTTTGCTAACTTAGTTCCCTCTGCTTGGAATGTCACTCTCCCTACATCTTCACACTGAAATCCCTGACATACTTGAAATGACACACCAAATGCCAAGTGCTTTCTTTCACTTCTTAGCTGCCCTATTCCTGGATCCAGACTATATTTATCACAATTTATAGTTTTATTCCTCTAAAAAATCTGTTTCCTCTCCCAACCACAACTAGATTGTAAGCTCTCCAAAACAAAACTCACATCGAAACTACACTTGTATAATACGAGGAAAGGAGGACACAGAGAGAGACACAGAAAGAAAACGAGAGAGAGAATACGCAGGGTAGTATATATTCTGTGTATATTAGCAATCC